GAGTAATTTTAAACAAACAGAATAGTTTTATACTGTATTATAGTATACTGTTATTATAGTCACGCTATAAATATTTATATGTTAATACTGTTATTATTACTTTTGCTATTACTATTATTACTATGTAGGGCCATTCCAGAAATAAATTTACATTATTTTAAAGTAACGTGTGTTTGTACGTAAGATTTTGTGTTGCTTATGATTTGTGCCTTATTTTTCTATGTTATCGTCAGCAAGCTAAGCTGTCTAACCTATTTGTTCATATATGGACAAGCTCCTCTTTGCCTTATTAGGAAAAAATAAGGAGGTATGATATTACCGCTCACTTGCCATTGACGTCACTCCAAACCTGCGCCCGGAGATATGTGAAAAAGCGAAAGTCACCTGTTGGCAGATCCTTTGTTTTTACTAGAAAAAAGTGACAAATTATAAAAGAGTTCGCCTGCAATCTCCATCTGAAAGTATTGCCAGAATTTCCAAATTGATGCGGCCATGTAGGAGGGAGCATTATCGTAGAAGAATAACGCATCTTTTGTTAGCATCCCACAGGACAATAATGTTTTGTAGCAGCTCGTACTCAATCCTCAGTTTCATGACAGACAGTAGCATTTATAATTTAACTCCCCTTTCAGAAAATCGACGAATAAAACACTTTCAAAACATAGTACCCAACATTCTGCCAACGGATGGCATGATTTTAAAGTTTGTTCTTCGCTGGGAGACCGGATGATTTTATTTCGCGCTTGCACATTTCCAATCTGAAGCTCAATATGAGCATGGTGAAGCCATGTTTTGTGATTGATGGCAATACGTTCCTGAGAGTCATGGCCGAGAATAGCAGGATGCTGCAGTGATCATGGCATGAGAAATTCGCATTAGTCCTCGCTAGGCCAGTCGTACACGTACATTCTGAAATACCATCTTTATAATCATTCTGGACTTAAATCATGAGTTAGTTCATTCACAGACACTTTGCTTTTTTATATTAACGCAATTTTTCAAGAAACGTTGTGTAAATATTTAGAGTGATGAGAAATATGGCGACACCGATTGAGTGTCCACGTAAATTACTTGAATTTACAAGATGGATGTAAAACGTGTCCTATGATCAGACAAATTCCTCAGTTCTCGTGATGGTTATGCCGAAGGAAACCATAAAGGATCCATCAAGGAAAGTAATCTGCAGCTTATTATCTTCAAATAAGTTTTACTCACGAACTAATAATCCTGTAGAGTTACTTCTGGAAAGCCTCTCCTGTGTTTAAAAATTGTTTATCTATTAGAAACATATTTACTATGCGTTATAATTCTTAATAATTATGATGACTGTATGCATTTTGCATATGTAAATTGCCCACAGTCATCATGATTATTAACCGTATAATCTCAGATCAATCATTGTTAGATAACCATAAAAATCTCTTACCTCAGATTGTCTCCTTAAGAGAGGGCATGTTAGCGGGCGTGGTAACAGAGAAACCTAAGACTGAGTAGATAATGTAAATCAGATTGGCATATTATACTATTCTAAGGCTACAGCTACGCATTTGTATTACGTCTGCTTTTTTTTCCACGTCCCACATAAAATAATTTTTATCAAAAATTCGGTTTCACTCTTTCAGTTAATTTCCTATTTCCATAAATCATTATCTTCAACTAAAATCTAAAAGACATTCTATAAAGTCAAATAGCAACCAAAAGGTCCCTCATCTTGCGGTACATGAAAAGGAAGTAATAGGAGCAAGCACACACTATCACCTTAAGTTTCTTTACTTTAATCTCTTTTTGTATCATTAGACTCGGTCATCATTACTTCTTAATGTACACAGGACTAGCTCAAATGTCACGTGAGAGATACGTCATATCATAAATGTCATGTGCTAGTTGAGCGAACTGTATCGTCTTAATTGATTTTGGGCATTGTACCTGGTTACTTCGCTTGCTCCTTTATTCCACAAAATGCGTATAGCTTGTATGGAAGCGAAATGACCTGTAACTTACCATTGCTTTGTCCGTGTAAGTAACGTTACTTCACTTACTAATTTATCTCACGAAAAACCTTTTCTCGCATTTTTAAGAATTCCAGAAGGCAAGCAGAGAAAGACAGAATTGCGAAATGCTTGAAAAGTTTCTTGTAGATTTTAATTACCGCAAACACTGGATAGTCTCCAAGTTTACGAATTGAAAGCAACAGAAAGGAATTATGCGAAATCTTAAAGCCTTACAACAGTTGCCCTCCTATATATTACCTTATGAGAAGCGATTAATGGAGGAGATTAAAAGTTAAAGAGGGGAAAAAAAGGTTGGCGAAGGAGCTTAGAGATTAATATTATTAAGTTACGAAGAAGATTAAAAGTTAGCAAAAGAAAAGAAAGGTACCAGAATCTGCCTGGAATAAAAACAGAAAGTAAGATACGACGTGCCTCCATTTTGAATTCTTATTCTCTTTCTAAATCTATGATCTTTAATGTATAAATTGAACTATTATTTCGTATTTTCAGTAAGTAACTTCACATAAGTAACTTTCACGACTTTTAGAAAAAATGCAAAAAATTTTAATCTTATAAAAAAGTCAGTATATTTTTAATAACCAAAAGAGGAATTTTAATGTTTAAAGAATAAATTATACTGTGTAACTTCTTTTTTATTGCATATTTTCGATCACGTGTCATGTAGAAATGTAGTTGGTTTTTATTGGAATTTTTAAATATAAGCTTTCCATTGAGAAAATCTCATCATGTTGTATATATATCCCATTGTCATATGATATTTAATACGTAATTTTACCTTCGCATTCATTGAAATTTAAATTAATCTTGCAAGTGTATTCTAAAAAATTTAAATAAATCCAGTGCTTTAAAAAATAGGACACTGTAACACTTCTAAACATGAAAAAACACTGAATGAAACATAATCTTTCAAGTGACATTTTAATAATTAAAATGAACGTTATTTAATAAGGAGAGATATAATGTATATGTATTATTATATAACGAGACATATATTGAAAGAATAAAAGCAAGTTTCTAAAAATGAAAATAAATTCTATGCTTTAAAAAACATAATTTCTAACTATTAAGTTAACATAATTTCTAACTATTATATTCGAATATAATTTTATTTCTATTAAGGCAGAATACTCGAAAGCTATCTGCTTAAGCGAAGAGATATTTTCGGGGAGAGCTTTTAAAAGTAAGCTAACTAGTATTTGCGTAAAACGAAGAGAAATATAATTCATATACGCACCCGTTTCCCAGAATGGGAATTTGAATCGAACTGCTAGTGTTCAGCGATTTTACCCTTAAGTCGCTGGTGAGCTATACTTTAAATATAAAAAGCTATATTATTATAGATATATTATGAATATTAGTTGTAAACCTTGTTAAAGTCCTTTTATGTAACTGAAAAAAAATGTATGCTTTAAAACATAAACTCAAAACGCAATGTAATTCCTAAATATGATAATATAATAAGACACATATTTAAGAAATAATTTGAAAATATCTCCAAATTTTTTAGCATGTCTTCCGGTATTTTTAATTTTCTTCTTTATTAATCTAAGTATTTAAAAATGAAAAAAAAATATTTTCAGATTTTTCAAAATATTTTCGACTTTAAATATGTTTCCAGACCAAATGAATTATTCATGTTTTATTTATTTGCTAGTCCTGAACGCTTTCGTTGATTTAACTATGTTTTAATTAAAAAACATAAATTTATTACGAACCTTCAGTGCAAAAATTTAATAGCATGTATTATGCTATGCAATTATTTTTCCCGTCTATAAAAATAATAATTCTATTTATTTTAGTCGAATGGCAAAAAGTCTATCTGTGACCTAGCGGATATAATTGCTAAACACTGGTGGCTCAATCCGAGCTCATATCCGATTGAAAGGGCTGAACAAGCTTATTTGCTTGTAAAACTGCTATTTTTTACAATATAAAAATGTCGAACTTTATCTGATACCAAAAAGACAAAAGTATCGAACTTTATCTACTAAAATACAAAAATGTCGAACTTTATCTGATAACAAAAAGGCATATAGTTAATGAAATCCCACACGGATTCTGGCTGCAAAAGAGTTCCAGAAAGCGAGTTTCGTGCTGTACAGCAAGGGCATTATTGTGATAGTTCTTTGCATGTGTTCTGGTAATGTGTGTAAGGATAAGATAGGGCATCGGTAGAGACTGCTCATGAGAAGTTCTGTGGCGAATATCAAGCAGGGTCGGCGCTAGATGTTTTATCAACCTGATGCAACTGCTAAATTCAGCCGCCCTGCGTTTCTTTAAATTCTAAAAATTTTCTCGCTCCTAAATTCTGACGCCGGTCCTATATCAGGAGAGTAAGAGACCGGATTTGAAAACCCGTGAACATAACATGCAATTAATTATCTTGTACCCTTCAGTAAATTTCAAGCTGAAGAACTACTGAGCTTAGCATGCGAACATAATCACCTCTTCCTTATGAGATGATATATGACACACTTTTGTATTGCAAAGCATAATAATTTTACAAGCCCGTAAAATGTGCTCTTTCTTTTCGAAACACCGCGTATTTATTAAGCTCAAAAACGAGAAGAACTTGGAAGGATAAACAAGGCAGTTGGAATTCTTTCTTCCCTAGTCATACAGAAAGATAAACCTTGGAAAAAGAAACATAATAGGCTTATTTTTCCACGCCTGTGTACCAATTTGCATATTCAAATTTTCTGTTCTTGTTTTAGCAAGCATGTCCTCAAATCTATCAACAGTGCTAACTATACTTTCAGCTGATGTGGAAAGCTGATATTCGTTTCAACAATCATGACTGCTGTGGTTTTTATTTTTTTAAAAATGTCACTATTTTTCCCTGCTTTAAGACTGTAATGAGGTCCGAGAACTGGGGAAAAGACGACGTCCACCCCGAGTTTTTTCAACCCCTGTCGGCGGCGGGCGTATGGTGGTTCTTTGATCCTTTCAAATACCGTGATTGATGTTGTTGCTCATTTTCTTTTACAGTGGAATGGAGCTGTTACGAAGACTTCTCCTTGCTGGCGGGATCTCGCGAGATCTCGGACGTGCAGAAGCTGGAAATCATGATTCCGGACTTGACCCAGGGTAGCACGTATTTCGTGCGCGTTGCTGCTGGGAACGTCAAAGGCTTCAGTTCCTGGAAGAGCGCATCGCCCCTCTCGGCCACTCCTTCTTGTAAGTCCACCATCTTCTCACACAGATTTGAAAAACACAGGGTTCTAAAAAAACCCATCGGTCTCTATTCAATAATACAGCAGCATTTCGTGATACTATGTAGCTAATCAAGAGTTGCTCTTTGTATTGCATCAACATATATAACTGTAGTCTGATTGTACGTTCTTGTATTTAATGATAATATACTGATATTATATAGGCAATGCTTAATCACCCGTTTTGCAGTGCTAACGTTTCACTGCGTGCAACAGGATATATTAAGTTATATCTTAATAATCAGTGTTCTCAGTAATTTTTTCATACACCAAATTTATCAAATTTAAGAAAACGAATTTACATTTATAGATAAGTTTTCAGCCCTTGGCATCCAAAAAAATTAGTATTTTCCCCTTATATTTCGTGAGAAGCTATAAAAGGTACTGGTTTGGGGTATTAATTATTCAAATTGTGTAAAACAGCGATCGTTATTAATTTGTAACTGCCCGATGTGGAATTATTAATTACAGTTATCTCTAAGAGTTTTCCACTTAAGTGTGTGAAACATCTTGTATTTAAATAATTTAAGTATAATGAACGTTTAATTAATCATATTTTTGTACTCTTCATCATCAGAGGGAACATCATTTTGTGTTTACAGAATTCTCCCATCTAAAATTCTGAAATTTTTTTCGCAAAATTATCTAGCTTATTTTGAGGAATTTTGTAATGAAAATATATGTCTAGGGTTCATATTAATGAAATAAAGCATGTAGCCAACTTTCATGAATATCCTATGTAATTATTATATCAACTTCGTGAAGCGCCGTCCGTAATGGATATTACATAATCTTATTAAAATATACTACTTTTAACAAAATTTGCAGGAATTCCTACTAAGCACTTCAACCACATTTGATACACTAAGAACAATCTTTTCTGGGAGTTTATATACTCTTCATTTCAAAATGATTTGATTTCACCTCAGCCGTAAACATGCTTTTTTCCAACACGTCACGTATCATATATGCATTGGAAAACATCTTTTGTATATTATTTATATCTATCTGATCAAGTTTCGAAATTCTAATTAAAATTCGCGCTACACTTTCACAAAAATTTTACATGTACTTTCACAAAAATATGTTTTTGTCAGTAAACATTTCTTTTGCAATAATTCTTATGTAATAATTCGTATTTTGCTTTATGATTCGTATTTTGCTTATTTGTATTTTAATATCTTTTCTTTTCATCTAAAAGAGGAAGACGGAAATAGAAATAAATTTAATTTTTTTTTAAACAGATAAATGAATAGAACTTAAACTCTTGTTCTTGAACAGACGAGGAAGAGCATATTTTTTTTTTTAGAAAATGAATATCCTAAGTTTCTTGTTATTGAAGTTAGAAAATAAGTAGCTTCATTATATGACAAAAGAATTCATTTCTTCGTTGCAGAGGAATAAACAGCAGCATTGTTTCATTGCTGTAATTCAGCAAATATCTTCTGCGCAGAAAGTGAACTGATACGAAAAATTTTTCTTAGGACCATTTTAATTGCATAGATATTTTTTAACTTATTTGTTTTTCATTTTCTTTATTAGCCCATTACAGATCCTTTTTAAGCTCATTTTCATGCAGTATTCTCTACTTTTTTTCTGTCTTTCTATCTTTTGTCCATGACCTGAGATAACCCTTTATAAAATGAGACGATGAGACGTCCGTTTTATGAAATGAGACGATGCATTGAATCAGTCAATCCTCAGCGACTGAGTATGGCATTTTATCTTTCCTTATTCCATTTAGGTTGGAGAGATGTTGAGGGAAAACTTCCCCGTTCATCAGGCCGTATGGGAAAGCTAGACGATCTTTTCCATCAGATCATCAACTCGAGAGCTGGCCATGCCAGTGAAATTAAAGGTAAGATATTTACAAATATTTGTTTTCTCCTCCACCCCCTAAAACATTGGTGCCATTCAACTATTCTTTACCTTTAAATTAAGTTTGTACTTAAAATCTTTATGAAAGGCTTCCGTGGTACTTTAATTTTCTAAAATGAAGTACTCAATTCCGGTTAAAAGGCCCATCACCTTTATTGTGGGAACAGTCTATTTATCAACTATCCTTTATAGAGAAAGCATTTTGATTTCTGTGAAATAGTCAGGGTTTCCTCTGCTTACTGGAGACAGCATGCTACTTAATTTATCAAACTGGATAAATAGTTTCCCAATATTGGCAATTTCAGAGGCTTAAAAGAATTACCCTATTGGTCCAAATATAAGATGGCCTCCCATGAAAGATCGCATTGTTATTTTTAATTTGCTTTGCAATTAAAAATGGCACTGCACATCAGATAGTCAATTTTATTTGAGCTTTATTCTTTGAAGCAGTTCTATGAAATAAGTACATAAATCTTCTAAATGTCATACTGTGCGGAAAAACTAAATGTAGAGGAACATTATCAGTCTTAGAAATGTCTTTACAAGTAAGAGAATAGATGAATACTAGAGATTTCTCTCACTACACTATATATAATACCCGGTGGTGATGGTAAGACGTCCACCACCACCAGTCGATAATGAGGGTCCATTTGTTTAGCGTAGAACATGGTAAGGATAAAAATCAAGGTTAGAATCGAAAATTGATCGCATTATGTCTCTTTTATTCCTTAATATTGTACATGTTTCACAAACTGCACATTAAAATATTAATAAAAAAAGTATCTTGCGTTTACCGAGCTTATGTGGATAAGCTGCTAGGAATTCATATATCGGGGAAGTTTTTTTATGGTCTGTATATATGCATAAAAAGATAAAGAGTTTTAAAATATTTTATGGAAATATTCCGTTTTCCAGATCTGTAAAAGCTTCATCATATTTCTTTTAAAGAATTCCAGCGCTATTTTCATTTCCAAGCAGTTTCGATATCTTATTTTTCCTTTACTGAATTATATCATACCTTTTTTCATGTTACAATAGCTGAATATGCAGTTTTGAAAATAAAGAATTTAAAGGGTTTACAATTTATTCTAATTATTCAATTCAATTTAAATTAGCAATTAAATTTTAAAAGAATGGGCAAATGTACAGCACATATAATACAGATCGCAGAGTTAAGGTGCCCGATGGAGGACAGATTAATTAGATTATAAATTTTACTTTTAAGTAAAAAATGGATTCGTGTGTATTTTGCAACACATGAAATATTCCCAAAAAAACTTTTTCTATTTTCACGTTCATAATTTTTTTCTTAAATAGATTAATATTATATACTTGCTGATGTGAAAGAATTTTTTTGATTGTCTCTGATGACCAAAGATTAGTTAATTTAGTGATTCAGTTATGTCATATAGGATAGCTATTCCTACCATTTCCAAAGTTATAAACATATATTTCTAAGCAAATCGTAAATTCCTTTCAAGATTAAAACACCAACAGAAATGGATGTATGTAATTTTTAATCAAGTGACTGGAAAATTATTGCATACCGTTCACTAAACAATAAAAATTTAAACTTTTGTTATAGAGACTTTCAAATATTGAACCTATTTAAACTTATTTCAAATTTTCCTGTTTCCCATTGTTTTTAAATAACTAGATGTTTTATTTATATGCGTAGTCTATCACAACTGGTGATCTGAATCTCATCGAAGCATTTTACAATCTTTGCAAATGTTACATGAATAGGAGACAGTTTCAGAATAATGAGAGGAATAGGGGGCAGTTGAGAACGGACAAACAGATTCAGGGACGAAATTCCCCGCTGGTTGAGAAACCGTAATCTAACTCTCTCTCTATTCTGAACTGCCTCCTATTCACGTAGGGATTTCATAATTTCAGGGGGGCGGCAGTTGGAGTCAGCCTTTTATTTAGCTGTTTATATTTACTTTTACTCGTAGTTTATGAATATTAAAAAAACTACTTTTATTCAAGTTTTGTTATTTACCATCATTTTCTATTCTTTTTTTCGTTTAATTTATAAACACATTTGAAAATAATCTAAATTTAAATAAATGTGCATATGTATTTTTCAAGTTTTAAAAAGGAAGATAGAGCAATGATGAAACGGGAGAGTGGGACATTAAAGGTTGAGAACTCCTGCCTTAGAAAGCGCTAAGCAAAGGCTCTTAGGCCCTGAGCTCCACTTGTCACTGCACTATTCGAATAATCCAATCCATTATAGTTTGTAATAATTACCTAAAAAATGTTTTAATAGTTTTTTTTTCTTATTAAATTTTTCCTTTGATACACTCCTTTCGAGAATTCAGAAGTAGCTGATTAACATTTTTTATTACTTAAAATGATTTTAGAAATTGCAGTTAAAAAAATCACATAAATACTATATGAAAGAAATAGTAATTTTTTAGTTTATTTGATTTAAAAAGCTCAGTCGCAAGTCGCAAAAAGCCTATGAATGATGGAAACAATAATAAATTTTTCTCCAAACGGAATTTGTATCGAAAAATTCGAAATGAGGCTGTTGTATTGGGAAACTGTTATATGCCCTAGAAAATATACGAAAAACTTGATTCTAATAATAACTTACGTGCTTTCTGAAAGCAGAGAAATTTTCTTCTAATTTCAGTTTTGGCAAAATGTTACGAATTTAAGTTGAATGTTCATTATTTTTTCTCTTGAGATTGAAAATAATCTTGTACGTAAATTTCTGCAATAAGCCAATTCCTTGTAAGACGTCCGCTTATTTTTAAAAAATATCTCTCTTTATTATCTCTAGCATACCCATTTTTATTTACTTTAATAATTTACAGCATTTCTTCCTACCTGACCGCATCTAAGATGATACCATCTGGAGATACTACTCTTAACCTTAGTTCCGTCTGCGTAGCAAAAGTCTTTCCATATCTTTAATAACTTGTCATTCTGTCTAATTCCGTCACTAACTATACTTGTCTATCAGCGTCCTTCTAGTTAAAATTAAATGTACGAAAAATGAAAACCAATTCCATGAGAATAAGTGTGGAGGAAGAGCTGGTAAGGGTAAGAACAAACGCTTAGCCGAAAGACCGTCATTAAATGAAGTTATGATGCGTTTTATTACAATACAATAATTAGGATTACTCAACATGGGAAAAGAATTTATTTAAAAGTATTGTTGTTATTCAGATGTGCATCTTGTTAATTAATGCAGCATAATTTCAGTATGAATTGCTAAGATTTAAACATAAATATTTCCCTCAAATTTATGTCTCCGCATGTGCAGTTTTTTCCCCTAAGCTCAAACTTACTCACAATTTTTTCTGCAGATCTGTCAGATACACCTCAACAGCAACGGCGGCAAGTAAGGAAAAGTATAAAGCACCTCTTCACTTCAGCTCCAAAATTTCAGAAAAATATGAAAAGGTAAGCAAGAATTCAATCACCCAAATCTTGCTTTTCAGTTACTAATAAAGTAACTAATATGTACTTGATTTCTGGACTTTTCAACGCAGTTTTGGATTTATTCGAAAATGTTACCGGATGTTTGTAAATGTTTCAATTTCTGCCGAGAAAAACTTCAGATTAAGCAGAATCAGGAATATGCATGCAAATAAGGATCAATTTTATTTTGATGACTGAAAAGAGAATAAAACGATAGTTGGATATAAAAAATGTATTAATTTATATAGCAAAGTATAACATTTAAGTATCTTTGCATACACATTCTACAATAGCTAACCAGATAAAATTCGTTCTTCTTTTTCGGCATAACTGAGTGTCTGTGAACCAACCATCTGTAATTTTAGCGACAATGTTATCTAAAATCAAAGGACCCACACAAATCTGTTTATTTTGCAGAGCTTTATTGTATACTGTGCATACACTGATGTCGGTACACTGTAAAAAGCAAATGGTTTTCTCCACATATCTTTGTACGTCATAAAAGAATAAAATTATTTAAAAATTCAAAAATGCATTATTTTCTAAACAAAATTACTTAATGATTTCCTACTAATGTTTCCAGACAAGATATGCTTGAAACCAGTTTCCTTGACAAAGAGGTTTCCTTGACTAATTATAAGGGAAACAATATGTTACAGTTGTAGATTGCCTTGAATTATAGGAATTATCTGGCAGTCGGAATTCTAACGTAAATTATAAATTAAGAAACACGGTATATTAACTAAACACTAATAAAGGAAAATTTATTTTCTTCTGGTATTTAATACTTTCACTAAACTTTTATTAATTCAGCGAAATCTTCCATTAAGTTTTTATATTGTTGCTATAAATATCATTAATAAATAAATTACAGGATTTTGTTTTATTCTTTTCCACAGAGGGGTTTTTTTGGCCTGCTTGTTGTATCACGATGACCGAATAATTGTGACTGCAGAGGATACTCTCCCAATACTCGAAGTAGATGAAACATACCCTTCTCCTCTGCATACTGACTTTCACTGGTTATTGAAGGTAAAATTATCTCTTAAAAATGTATTTGCTACCTTAAGCCTCTTGAGTGCTTTTATCTGGTCATAAGATTTGTTATCAGTTTTCTCTATATGATCGCGATCTTCAATAAAACTTGCTGTCTTATTTTATTTATTATTTATTTATAAATAATTCTAAGAATCTTTTGTTTATGGGAACAAGCAATAAAGTAAATAGTTTTACAAATTTAGATAGTAAATATTGTATAAACACGACCATGCGTGATCGAATTTAAAATTTTGACGCTTAGACGATTCATTCCTAAGATCTTAAGTGGATTTCAATTACATTATACTTGAATAATAGCGATCTTCACACCACATTATAATTCAGGAAGAGGAAAATACATAGGACAAAATATTATCAGTGGAATCTTTCAGTATAACTTTTAGAAAGGTCAATATAACTTTTAGAAATCCTCGGTATTTAAATTAATTAAGAATAATTATAGATGTTAATATCTCAAACTTTTTGGAGGATTTGATTTTTTTTTACGGAAAGGTACGAAATAAAATATTCATCATAAGGAAAAAGAAATATTCTCATCAAAGTTTCTTGGACAATGGAACATTTTTAAAGAGAAGACAATGTGAGAAGAATAAATCTACAAAGATATAAGGATCTGCTATAAACTAATAGTAGATTCCTATTAATATCTGGTAATAAAAACTTCGGTCTCCCAAAAGGGTTGTTAAAGTATTTTACGCTCTCGCTGCCCTCGCAGTCTACACGTCTGCTCACCCCTACTAACGTTTTTTTTTCGGGGGGGGGCCTTTTAGCTTTATGATTAAGCATTGTTTTCTTCGCGCTTACGCCATATAGAATTCAACGGCAAAATTACAAAAAATTTTAAAAGCAGCATAGTAGTGTTACAAAATGTACAGGCGCGGTAAGAAGGCTTCACCGCAAAGCAGTTTTAGGGTTTCCATAAAATGGCAAAGGAGGGCAGGGTTGCCACATTTGGCGACAAAATTGGCGATATACTATGGACGGTTGGAGAACTTCTGGAACGAATTCTTACCGGTTTAGCCCAGAATGTTCCCGAACTCAAGCCGAAAGCTATATAAACCCTGCTGGTCCGCAGTTAGTTAGTGTGTGTCTGCCTTGTCTAGCGAGCCGATAGTCATTGAGCGAGTGTCTCGAAGTCTAGCGCCGAGTTGGTCGTCGAGTGCATCGAGAGAGTCTTTTAGTGCATTGCGAATTAGTGCACGTCGAGTTTTGTCTTAGACTGTGCTGAGTCGAGAGCTATACTCTTGTGTATCGTCGAGTGCATCACGTGGAGAGTCTCGAGAGTACGTGGAGTTCCGAGAACGACCAAACAGAGTCGGAAGCTGTACTCGGGTGCTTTGCGGTGAATCTGTCTCCACCGTTATTGCCTGTCAGTGTGAAGGCTGTGTCGCTGAACGTGTCAGCGTGTTTATAACAGTTCGACGACTGAAAAAGTGATTTTGAAGCTGTCCTGAGAATATTAGTAAATAAAGTGTGTTTCGATACTTCATCAAATGTCGTCGTTATTCACTTCAAATCCACACGAACCCCGTAACAACTGGTGTCAGGGGAAAAAAAAAAAAAAAAAAAAAAAAAAAAAAAAAACATAACAGTAGTTACATATAGAATTCCCGACGCAGCGTTAAGCTTTAGCATAACAGTTTTCTTTTTTTTTCCCCTTTTTTTAAGTCTTTTCTCAGACCTTCATCATATCAATGTTCAGTTTTCTTACTAAGAAAACGTTTTTTTTTTTTTTTTTTTTTTTTGGTCTTTTTTATTATTAACGTTTTGTGTGTTTACTTATAATTTAAATATCACGTTCTTTTGTGTGTTGCATTATTAATTAAATATCACGTTCTTGGCGCTTACGCCATACAAAATTCGATTCAACGGCAAAATCACAAAATATTTAAAAACAGAATATCTTTGCACTTAAACAACGATAGGCAATTCGCGCGCTGGAGATATGTATATTTTATTCCCTACAGTGTTGCCACTGTTCGCTTTGACATAGTTAAGTTTGCTAATAAAAAATTCGTTAAAATTTCACAAGAATATGAAATAGATAATAAAACAAATTCGAAATTCAGAACTCGAGCTTCTAGGTGCTGATGTTCGGGTGGAGAACTACGTTATTCAAACTTGATGTCTCTAGGCACCGTCGTTTTATTACAACAGGCGAAGCATTCATACATTCATGCAGATTCTTCATTACTTAATTTCTTTAAATATAATACAAGGCGATAATAGTTGGTGGCAACAGTTTGAAAATTGATACGCCATTTTTAGTGATTCGGAGCAAATTGTCGTTTCGAGACTAATATCCCATTCGGGATTAACGTCCCTTTTGGGCTAAAAACGCATGCGCCATGAGTTTTTAGCCCAAAAGTCTTGACATAACTGCACATAATGATTCATTATTAATTTCTATGCTATTATTAAATATTTTCTCTGACTTGGAAAAAAAAATGAAGCAGTGAGATTGAATAAAAATTTATTTCCGAGTAAGTTGACAAATAAGCTAAACATATTAATTGCTTAGATATAGTGAATGTTACATACTTGAGTTAAAAATTGCCGCAATTATTGTAATTCTTATGCGGCTTTTTTTTAATTCGTATTATTAAATTCTTCACAGTATCAATAATATCTTGAAATTTTCTTTTCTTTACATCAGGTGGCGTGCACATGGGAAGATGTAAAAATTTTAAGACAAGATATGGAGAAAAGTCACTCTTCTTCAAACGTCCATTTCCGAAGCAAGTTGCTGCAAGCAGTAGAACAAATGCAGGTGAGTACTTTTGTGTCGAAGTGCGCAAAAATCGTAAGCAGCTGATATATTAGAATGACCAAACGCACATATTTATGTATCAGTTTCAGATTTTACTATTTATTTATTTTTTACGGCTGTGAGACTTGCATTTAATTGAAAGAACTGGCCAGTTTATAACCAGACCAAAACTTTTACTAAAGCAGTTAAGCAATTCTTTGATCATTTCCTGGAAAATAAAGTATATAACTTCGCCATTTTTAAACAACCAGTAACATATGTGTTTCATAGTGGAATATATTATAGCAAGTCCCCTTCCTGCCATCTGGCATTGCTATTTTGAACAGATCGTTTTAAATATACACAGTCAAGCCTTGTTTCACTAATTTAAGAATGGTGAAAGCTCCAAGAACCATATGTTTGCTTTTCTCACTCTTCCCTCTGTCTTGCTGATATGCAGTCCGTTTGTCCTTTTCTCCAATTGTAATGCCGTGACTATATGAAAATTACATTTATAGTTATTGAATAACGGGTGTGTTAATTTAGCCATATATGTTAATTTAAAAATGCTATATAGAAAATAAAAGAGTTATATTAACCGGCCATGATTACTTCATATTCTCCTCCCATGTAAAAAAAAAAAAAAAAAATATCTTGTATCATTTCCTAATTCCAGAAATGTATTGCTAATTTTATGTAGAAAGGAGATTTAAGGAGATTTAAAAAGTACAATTAAGTGAAATTAGTTCAGGGAATGAGCAGTTTTATTGAGTCGATTCTCCCGACCCATTATACTCGATTCTTTCCACTCTTAGCTCTATTCTCTCACTCTCACACCGTTCTTGATCCACCTTTCGTTTCCTATCTTATTTCTCAAAGTTAGTGAGTGGCGAATCGTAAATAGCAGAACCGATTCATTTCAGTGAACGAAGGATTCTAATCTGATCCTATAAAAGTGGGGTTTTGCTCACCTATACATCGAACACCAAAATTTTATTACGCAGTGTGTGACAGAATTGACAGGGCAAAAGTATTAATTTTCGTAATACAGAGCTTAGTTTATTCTGAAATGTGAAAGCTAACACACAGTCAGTATGAAAAATATGGAAAATAAAACTTAATCACGAATGTTTATAAAAAATTAATGTTTTGGATTTACAAGAATTGTTCCAATGACCGACCAACGGCTACAGGACGTAAATCACAATGATGATGGATCTCGCTTACAAGACGTATATTAACTCTTCTGAAGACCTTATAACCGAAATTGCTACAGCGAAAGCATCTTCCGAAGCCTATGCCCGTCACTTCGTAGTTGTCTTGCTGGTATTACAATTGGTTTTCGTTCATTTGAATAATTCTTGTATGTACTAAATATTGTTTCTTGTAAATACTCGTGGTTATAATGACTTTTCCTTCTCCGTGTTCTTTGCGCTTAAACAGTGGCGTAGCCAGAGCTTTCGCCGCCCAGGGTATTCCCTGAATTTGCCACCTAGGGCTGGTCCTTGAATTTACTGCTTCTCTCGATATGCAAGAAGGTAACTGGAAAAATTATCAAACTAACATACATGAAAATAAATTAAAACTTCTATGATTATTTTTTACGTAAATCTTTAATCCTAACATTTTAAATTACACTATTATTTTGATTATTTTTTTCATTCATAAAACCATCGATGGCATTGCTAATTTGCTCTATTTGCTATTATGCAGATCGTATAGAAAGATTTTTCAAATACAAAATATACATTTCTACTCCTTACATACTTCTTAAATTATTTCTGCTTTCTCACAGCTAGTAAGAATCACGAAGAAATTTCACAGTAATATCAAAGTATTGGAGTTTTGTTCTGAAAATTGTATTTTAGAATAAACTGCAAAACTTCAAAAGGAATATTGTTTTCCAAGTCTCTGTTCCGTTTTCGCAACTAATAATAGAAACAAAACTCAGTAATATTTCTCTCTTAACTAAGAATTTTTCATTTTTAATGTCACGAGATCATAATTTTGTTGATAACCAAATTATTACATAGCATTTTCGTATTTTTTATTCGGGGGGGGGGAGTAAAGGTTCGATGAAGTAAAGAAGATATGACAAAAACATGTAACTACTGAAATCTTGTAGTGATTTCCTTGATACTACACCTAGTATATATATATTTTTTTTTTTCCCGGTTGCATAGGACTATTTAGAATCTAGTTATTCTTCACCTGCCTCGAAATGTTTCATGTGTTTTATTTTTAAAAATAATGTTTCACGGGGGTGGTATGCCACACCTAAAAGTGTGCTGTGTTTCACCGTTCTGTTTCAACGTTTTCATTTCATATTCTATCATATTAGACTGTATTAAAAAAATTATTACTTTTTACATATTCTGTCATCCTTAATGTGATGACCATCAATTCTATTGCAACTCTGCATATGTGTATGTATATATATGTGATGTACCAGATTTTGTCAGGAATAAATAGATTGTTGAAGAATCATCAATGTAGTCGTAGCTTAAATTATCAGACGATAGTTTTAAAAAACAGGATCCATTTATTATATTTCAGGAGAAAATAGCAATTACAAAAATCTGATCTCTGGAGTAAATAAAAAAGAACTACTAATAACATTTTGTATGAAGGTTTACTGCATCGTGACATTTAAGAAAAAGCCCCCGATATTCCTTTGCGAGTCCTTTTATAGCCTCTGGAAAGGCGGAGCTTCCATGAAATGACGTCAGCCTCGTCAGCCAAACCAGTTCGCTTGAAATATTTCCAGAACATTCTAAAACTGTACGTGTAGAAAAGGCGGGAAAAACAACTTGACTACGGGGCTGTGGATTTAATTCCACGTACTTTCAATAAGAGAACGTCGCCATTAAAAATGAAAAGAACATACAGTTAGAATTTTAATTGTATTCTTGATTATGGAATTTTATTATTACAGATATATATATATATATATTTATATTTAAAATATTCTCTATTCGTAAAAAGCAAATTTAAAGTTAATTAAATTTTAGATGAAATTTAATTACGAATGATTAATTATTGCTGCGAACTAATCTACAATATCATTTAAATTCTGAGAGCATATGTAAAACAAGTGCAAGTATCAAAATTTATGAATATAAATAAAATTTAAATAAAGCTAAGTGCAAAAATTATAATTCATAAACTAAAGAAAACCAAACTATTAGAACTTGAAATTTTCATTTTGAAAAAAAAAAAATTATCAGAGAAACAAACTAGGTAATTAGCGCTAAGAGCTGCTAAGTACAAACAAAATTGTTTCAAAAGAATATAGTAAAGTTAAATTAAATTTAAATTATTCTTTTGCGCCATTGCTACAAGGAATGAAATTTAAATTTAACAAACATTCTCTATTCGTAAAAAGCAAATTTAAAGTTAATTAAATTTTAAATGAAATTGAATTACAAACATATATGACACTAAAACAAAATTAACGAATACAAATTTGTGGTCATATATTATAAGGATTTTAAGTTTTTAACTATCGTTTATTTTATTTTGAACTTTGATATTCTCTCTTATTTTCCATTTCCGGCCAGAATAAGCGCGAGTAGAATTGTTTATGATAATGAGGTTGCAAACTTTAAAATGGTATTTAAGAATTGGCTTCTAGCCAAGAGGGAGAGAGCCTTCCCCTGCCCTGCTACGCGCGTGCTTTTCAGTCAGTTCGTGTCTGTCTTTCGGCCAGAACTTAGTTCCTGCTGATATACTAGACGTATTATAGTATTTGCACTTAGCTCACTACATACATAGGGTCAAAAGGCCAATCTTCGCGTTAATAGGCTCTGCAAAGCATTTAAGTTTAATACTTATTTAGTTAAATGAATATTTCTTATTTTTCACGTTTTAGACCAAAAGTGTTGGTCTCTGTATCCCGAAGTGCGGGAGCACCTGTATGCTGTGTGAAATAAAGGTAACTTGTTTGTCTATCCATCGTACGCAGGAACATAGCTTGAGTAAGCTTCCTGTTCCCACTCAGGATTTCTATTGATGTTTCCCAAGTCAATTAGAAGGAACAGTAGTCCTGACAATATACTAGACATATTATAGTGTTTGCACTGACAATATGACTAAAAAGGAAATACTCCAGCGCCTATCAAGAATTGTAAAGGGACATTAGAAGAATTTTAAGGAAAAACAGAAGTGAAAGCATAGAAATGATATGTATAAGAATGGCTGCATTCAATTTACTGAAATTCCTTTTTAACAATTTTGATTTAAATTCGTCATTGTTCAGCAACGCTTTTATTTTTAGTCACAATGGGACCAAGAACACTGTGATAATTTTTATTTTTGGACTTTCTAGGACATTTTAACTAAACCAAGTAATTTTAAAAGTTTTTTAAAATATATTTTATGTGCACTTTATCTTGCCTTCATGAAATTAAATTTAAAAAAAAAAAAATATTCCCATGAGGTAAAAAAGTGGTCTCACAGAAAACTGGAGACACCTTGTGAAACAATTAGATTGAAAACGTTTAGCCTTTATATGTCCACACAAAACGGAAATTTTCCCGAAAGGTCATTCAGATCTTTCCCTTTGTTTTTGAGTTAATAATGTGCAATCTGAGTTGTACTTGACTGACCAAGCCTCATTTAAATATTTTTATCCTGGAATGAGGAAGCCTTATGGTCATGCGTAAATGAGGATATGTTCAGATTCTTTAAACCAAAAGGAAGTACTGCAAACGCGAAGTGCAAATTGAGGATGCCGTGGTCATATGCTAACATCGTAAACGAGTAGGATGATATGATTGCCATCTAGATAAGCACTGCGTTCACCAATCCAATAAAAATTTTTAAAAGGTTTCAAAGGTCACACTCCTCTTTCCTCATGATGTTTGAAATTTGAATTTTAAACGTATGTTTAAACCATAAAATAAAGGCCTTATGTTGTAAGATTTTATTTAGGCATCTTATTTGACATGAGAAAACGGCTTTAGAGAAGTTGATAAAATTATGAACCATTATGTTCGTTTCGTTATGTTAAGTTACGCTCCCATCATATACGGTATCTGTGTTGCCATTTTGCAAAACGCAAGATCTTTCATTTATGCCAGTTATTAGGGTTTTATCAGTGTGGCAAAAATTACGATGCCGCATTAATCATTCAGATATAACCAATTTTCAACAGCTTAATAAAATGAGCGTTTTAAAAGCCATAAGTACGTTTCCCGACAATTTATTTTTTTTAATATTTTTCAATAGCATATCATACTGATATAGTTTAAAATACATTTAATTTATACTCTATCCGCGCTATAATTCCATTTGGTTCATGTCCGTGGTCGGAAGCCATCACAGCGGTGCACTCACTATATCCGCGCTATGATTTTTATGAACATTTATAGCATTACTGTAATTAATAAAGCATGTTTTTGACACCATATATTATTTACTTAAGTAAAAAATAGTTTGTTTTTGACGACATTTAAAAAAAAGGGTAGGAGAACAGATAATATATTTAAAAATTCTATATGACAGACTTAATGTTATGATGTTGAAAGCGTATTAATTATAACAATATTGTAAATAACCATAAACATCGTTAGCTAGCTATGTTTTTAAAATTATATTAATTGAATACATTAATAAAAAATTCAATAAATAAGAGATAAATAAATCGCTAGTTAATCTTTAAAGCCGATCCATTTTAATTTGAAAGACAAATTAAAAATTTCTGTCCCATCGAATGACCGTATTCAGAGAACTCGCTATTCGCTAGGATGCCTGAAAATGAATTTAAAGATCATACTTTTAACACAAAAGTAACATTCGCCAAGTAGCAGGGATGATAAATGCATGGTAGTGGAATGTAACTATCCAAAACATTTTTGAAAATCTCTATTAAACACGTTAAAAAAACGATCGAATAGGCAGGGAGAGTGATGTACATTTTCTTCTGTTAATTACTCACTTAGCTTTCGGATCACAAATAAAGAAATATACAAAATTTACAAACAGACAAGAAAAAAAAGTCTGAAATGTTTCAGATTTTAAATTACGTCCATTTTTTAACGTTTTGTGTGTTACCTTTATTTATTAAATATCATGGTCTTTGAACTTAAACCACAAAATTCAGTTCAATAGCAATGTCGCAAAATAATTTTAAAATGCGTATATCTTTAGAAATTCCGATAGACAGTTCGACGTGGAGATAAAAAGGTTTTTTTCGCCCTTAGAGTGTTGCCATTGCTCGCTTTCAAATCGTTGAGTTTGTTACTCAAACATTCGTTAAAGTATGAAATTGATAATAAAACAATCCAAAATATGAAATCGATAATAAAACAAATTCCAAATTTCAGATTTGGGCTTCCTCATGCCCATATTCGCAGTAGGATTACGTCATTCAAAATTCGATGGCTCTATGTACCATTATTTTATCACAATGCGAGAAATATACATACATTTATGCAGATTTTTCATTATTTAATTTCTTCAAATATAATGCAGGACTCTAAAATTTTGTGGCAACAGTTTGAAAAGTGAACCGACATTTATAAGAGTACGACACAAAATGCCAAAACGAAAGTAATAGTCCTTGGGGGACTCAAATCCCTTTGGACTAATAAAAGAAATATACAAAAGTTTTAAACTTTTATATATTTCTTCACAACATAAATTTTACATAAAATTCAATTAATAAGAGATAAATAAATATGCTCATAATTAAAGAAACTAAGTTTCTATAAGGTATTGTGTTCATAATCATTTATATTTAAATTTAACAATACCACGAATTTTAAGTCCTAAAAAACTTTAAACTTTATTTTATTACAAATGTGCTTAGAAAATTTCAATCATAATTATTATTGCGTAAGGTTATGCTATCATTTCTTTATAATCCATTCAGGTGGCAAATGTTGTAAACTTTTAATTTATCCGCCCCCCCCCCCGCGCTGTCGGAAATAGCTATGTCTCAGGGTTTGGCAAAGCATTAGATTAATTTATTTTTCAAATTTAATCCATCTGTACTTAAGCAAGTGCTTTAAAAGCAATAAATTTACTACTTAATAAGTGTTGCTTATTTTATTTTTAATAACATAGCTAAATGTTGTAATTTAAAAAATAATTAAATGGATATGATTTAATTTATAATATTCAACTGATCTGTTTATGAACATTTGTAGCGTTATCTAAACTGATCAAAAATTGTTTGCAGCAATGTATATTATACATCTTCATATAGAGTTATTTTTTTAAGAAAATTTTGGCCCATATCCTCTTTATGTCACATAATTTTTTTTATTGTGAATGTTTACAAAAGCATAACAGTTTTAGACTAAAACATGGAAAGCGAAATTCATTTAAATTTTTAGTTCTGTGAATCCTGGTCAAGTGCATTGCATACCTTAGACAACTAGAAATATTTCTTTGAAAAGTACTTCATGAAATTACCTGTTGTATACTTCTAGTTAGAAAACCAAAAATAATTAATTAGAAAACTAAATTAATTAATTATTAATTGAAGTTATGAAGTTAAAAAAAACTATATTTATCAAGACACGTCAGATATAATTTTTCAGACTTACGTGTGCTTATATTTAGTCTAATGCAAAAAACGTAAAAGTTAGCTTTTCACCATTTTATACCCACATAATAAAATCCTTTCATGAATCAAATTCAAGGCTGAAATCAAACATTAAGAACCGTTATACCTATATTTTTTATCACTGTGGTTAAGTATTAACTGAAATTTGTTTTCAATTATTTGTTTCAAGATTTAGAGAATGAATAAGGCATTTTTGCAAAATTCAACAAACATGTTTTCATTGAATTTTGATATTTACATCTTTTTGAAGATTACAACAGTGAGTCATATATGTTGGAAGACCCACAGTACTTAATAACACACATTATTCAATTCTATGTCCCTTCAACAATAACAGATTTTCCCGTATATATTTTCTGATTTAAAGACTAAACTTTGATACCCGTTAACTGTTTATTTGAGGAACTCTTTATTTTCTTTTGCACACCCGGTCCATACGCTTTTACGTCATTCCATTTCCTTCTGGTTGCATCGTCTTCGGGATATCTGTTTGCAGATACTTCCTGCATATTTCTCCTAAAATATCTTCTTTTGAGATTTCCGTTTCCTAATCTTAAGATGAAGGAAAAAGGCATCTTTCTATTCACTTATCAGTGCTTGCCCATATAATCTGATAGTTTTACGTCCCTTCTATAAATGAGGCATGTGTTTGTTTCGTATTATTACAAGAAAAATATCACATTATAAATAAATGTAAAGAAAGTACCATTATTTACATCTAGATTCATCATGTGGATAACTGAAAATTGTGTAAAACTTGTAATTAAAAGAGTCGTCATGGATTTCTCCTTGTCTCCTACTTGGTTACACCTGCGTTTATTGCAGGTTCTGTTTCTAGCTGACTAAGCGGGGTTTTCTTCGTATATAACAGAGAAATATAAAGTAAAATTAAGCTAATATTTTAATGAAATAATCAACTTGTTTTCATCTAGTAGCTCCCATGATAATCTTCAATAAAATTAATATGAAAATAGAAGCTAAGCACTCCAATTTTGAGGTAGACTATGATCTTCGTCATTATATACAAACGGGATAAAATAATATTCATTACTACAATTAATATTATACATGTAAATTTCTTCTTCAATTGCAAAAAACAATTTACCTATTTATGTCTGGCTGGCTGGTACTTGCTCACATGACTATCAACTAATGAAATGTCTTTAAGTAAAAAAATCTCATAACTCTAAGTCAAGACATGAGTAATAAATTCCCTTACCTATTCTCTTTAAATTCAAATGAAAGAGCAAATGAAAGCTACTAACTTTATTTGCGATTTTGTTTGAATTTAAAGATATTAATATGTATTGATAGACCATGAATTTTTGATTTTGCAAATTTTGGATGTCGTAGTTTCCTTTCCAAAATGTTTATTTTGCGCTGTCGTCATTTCAGGCTGCCCTTGGATTGCAAGATTTGGGACAACTGTACTACTTGCCGCTTAAAGACAGTGAAGGTACAACGGTCCTTTGCACAGTGAAACATGTAAGAGACCCCAAAACTATGGTCACTCTGTCCGTGCGATGGATGCCTTTGTACAAAATCCAAAGAAAGCGTGCCAACAACTCTGACAGTAATGGGGACAACCCAGGCATAAGCGATTTGCTCCTGGATTCCTTACAAGTGAGTATCTGTGATAAAAGTCTATTCTACTTTTTAGAGGAGGAAAATTTTCTGTTGTAAATTTATAATCTATATTTTCGTAGTGTTTTTTAAATTTTGTCCCTCTGAGCTTAACAACATAAACATACATTATCTTTAAAAAGATATAAAAGTTTTCGTAAATTTTAGTGAGTTAGATTCATAATAATAAAATTATTAAAGAACTAGAAATGTTAAATTTTAAAGTTAGAAACCTCTGTAGAGATTAGTCTAGATGTGGCCAAACTTCATATTGCTAGGAACAGCATGTTCGAACTGAAGATAATTGAGGAACTGCAAGTAGGTATCGAGAGCAGCAATTAGATAGTTATATATTTTAAAAACAATAAAACATTTTCTAAGTAGAAAGAAATATTCCAAATAATTTAACAATGATATCGCATTTTATAATTACTGTGGTTATTTAACATAAATAATTTGCACAATATTCAGGAAAATATGTTCCTACGAAAAGCAAATTTTAAACTTTTTGATATAGAGAACACACCTTTTCAAACAGATAAACAAGCATTTTCTTCCAATTTCCAAAATTTTCTTCTGATTCTAATTGTCAACTGATTTTAATAGCAATCAACTTATTTATAATCAAGTATAAAAGAAAGAAGATTTAATATAAAAATCTTTTCATTTAACTGAAAAATAACTCAATAAATTGAAGAAAAAATATGATTTTCTTTTACTTTCAACTCTAAAGGAGGTAGGATGGGAAAACGCCGTCTGCAAAAAAACTGCATTTCGATACACAGAACTTTTTTTAAAAAGGCTGTCAAGTTAACGGAGTTTTTTTCATTTTCCTGCATAACTAACGTGAAGACGGAGATAAAATCATTCAAATACAATAATATAAAGTTCTTTTATAACGTCATTAGTATCATCTGCTGAAAGTATTGCCTTTGCAGGTATGCCTTTCTCAGATTTTTTTTTTAACTTCAACTAGCATCAGATATGCTTTTTTACTTCTGATGTAAATTAAAGATAAGCATATTCTTCGGCATACCATTCTGTAAGATTTGGGGTTTATAATCAACATAGTGTATATGAAATTTATTTGCTTTTACAGCTATATATTCCGATAGTTCAAGAACTAGTAGCACCGTGGTAATCACAAAACTGGTGCAAAGTTCAAAATTACTGTAAATTGCCATAAATGTAGAAAAAAGTTGTTGACTGTTAGAAAAACGTAGTGTAGCATGATTCCTGTTTCAAACTACGATAACATTTTAAAAATAAAACTATTCTTTGTTTAAGATGCCAAAGAGCCGCAGTTTGGCCATGCCTGGGTTAATTTGCCCCGTTTTTCACCATTAAGTCTCGTTGTGTTATGTTATGCATCATTAATCAAGAACGCTGACTAGCACATTTTCAATTCTGAGTTTTGTTGCCAATCTATCTAATCAAAACTGTTATTTTTCGCATAATAAAAGTATATTGCATTTTAACATAATAAAAGGCGAGACTTCGAAACAGTAAGAATATTTATTTTTATCTTTACGTAAACTTTAATGTGTCTTGTTTGACATAATTTATTATATATCTAAGAGATATTTTATAAAATTTTATGTTATTATCATGATTAATTAAAAAAATTCTAATGCCTTATTTTATGTTCTTTGGTTACAGAAATAATTCGTATGCCTAAAATATTTTTCCCATAAAAATCAGCATTTTGTGAGCTGTGCTGGTATACTTCCCAGCATATGTGAGCTGTGCTGGTATACTTCCCAGCATATATAGAGAAAGATATGTATGCAGCTAAATAAGAGACATAATATACAGCTAAATTAGAGAAAAGATCTTAATTTAGCTGTTTGGGACCAAAACTGCATAGATGTAATTTAACAGAATGATTAAAATTCTAAACATTTCTAGTGAGGTAGTTACTTTATTTTGTGAATAATCAGATTTCTTCTTCGATTTCATATGTAAAATGTTGTTCGTTTTTAAACTATATAAGTATAGATGAACAGTAGAAATTATTCCCATGATCCAATATTTGAAATCTGAATTTCCTTTAAAGAAATTCTTCGAATATGATAATTTAATTTCTTTCATAATTGTCATCTACTGAAAGGCTTTCCTTTGCAGGTATGCCTGCCTCAGAACTTTTTTTAATTCAGCTAGCATCAGATTTGAATTGTGATTAGATACATATATTTATCGATTTTCGAAACTGTATATTAAATTACGGAAAATATGAAAAGAAAAAAAATAATCCCTTCATCGCTGCAGATCGAAAGTTTAATCTGTTCGGTTTTCTAATTAAATATATATATATATATATATATATATACAGTGTGTACCGTAAATGTTGCGATAAACTTCTAGGGGAGGTAGGGCACATTATAAGGATTAAGAATTGCATTGGAACCCATGCCTGGAAATGTCAGGGGTAAGTGGTAGGAGAGGTAGAAGATGGGAAAGAAACAAGAGTGATTAATTTGAAACATTCATTGGACATGGATACAAATGGTGTACGACAGCTTGAATGTTACAACAGATGCTCGAAGTTTGCACCATCAGACGCCAAACATGCCTGATACCGACTAACCATTTGAATACAGCGAATTATTTTATCATTCTGGAGCAGGTTTTTCCCGATTTGGTTGACGATGTTCCACCAAATGTGAGGCGCAACATGGGTTTCCAACATGATGGGGCTCATGCTCATTTTAGACTGGATGTTCGTAGACATTTGAACAGATCATTCCTGCACCGATGGATTGGGCGTGGTGGACTATTTCCCTGGCCCTCACACTCATCGGATTTATCCAGCCTTCATTTCTTTTTGCGGAAAGCCGTCAAAAGTATAGTGTATCACGATCCTGTTGTGTCTGAAATGATCTCGTGGCAAGACTCGCCTGCGCAGCTGCTACAGTCAAAGGAACTCCTGGTGTGTTTGAACATGTCCGGCAATAAATGGTGCGTCGGTGTCAGGAATGTTTGGCGTCTGATGGTGCAACCTTTGAGTATTTGTTGTAACATTTAAGCTCTCGTACACCATTTGTTTTCAAGTCCAATAAATGTTTCAAATTAATCACTCTTGTTTCTTTTCCCATCTTCTACCTCTGCTACCACTTACCCCTGACATTTCCAGGAATGGGTTACTATGCAGTTCTTAATCCTTATGATGTGCCCCTAGAAGTTTCTTGCAACATTTACGGTGCACCCTGTATATATACTATATAGCGATTAATAATAACCGAATGTGGCAAATTTTTTAACAGGAAGGTACGAATTTAAAGCAATTAAATTAAAAAACTTTGAAAGAAAACTGAAATAAAAGTAATTTAATACAAAATTAAAACAATATAGATAATAATTCTTTGATCTTCTTCAAGGAGCAGCTGAAAACATTATCAACAAACGCATATAATATATGGATGAACTGCAAAAACGTAATGAAAGAAAGCCTTTAAATTATTTAAATGAGAATATATTAATTCAATTTTTAAAATTGAATAATTTAAATAATAAGCTTTTATTTTAAATTTTTTTAAAATTTTAATAATTTTATTATTATCTCATTTAATTATTTTAGATATAAAGATTTTCATTGATTTTTTTAATTAATGAATGAATGAATATCATAGCATTTTCTGCAACATTAATAGTATTTCTTAATTAACTATTGTTCAGGTTCTGATATATATAAAAGATAGCTAGATAGATGTAATTAAAGAAACCATGTTATATATATTATAAAAACTACATTATGTTAAATATATAAATATATATTTCACACAGCCCTTTTTAAGTTGTATTTATCAGTTTGGGTTCCAAAATAACCTTTAATAAAAGGCAAACAATAAGAACTGTATATTATTTCATTACAGGAGATGATTCTGTACAGCCAAGTGAGTAATAAGCCCTTACCTAAGGGCTTATATGTAGGCTACATGAAACTGAAGAGCTCCGTGGATGCTATTCGTGTTGTAGTACCAAGACTGACACCCAACGTTTTACCCCATGCTAAGATAAGGGATAATCCCCATGTATCATGGTACGTGTAAGGAAATCATTGAAAATTATCCTGAAACATTTATGTTAAGCATGACGATTTTATATTAAACATTACATGATTTCAGAATGATAGTCTTAATTTAAAATGGCTGAATATAGTTACTCTGTATTAAGCACCATATCACCCACGAATGCTAATTAATTCAAAAACGTAAACATAACGAATAATAATTTTCAACATTTCTTTTCGTAATTTTTTTTACAGTGAAGAATGGCAATGGTTCAAGAGTCTTTCAACGGGAAGCTTGCCTAGTGCACCTTCTGAATTTCAAGTGAAGTTCCAAAAAGCTTTATCTTTGGCTACGAAACAATTACTGTCAGAACTGGACATTCCAGAGAATGTAGCTGATTTGCACAGGTAAAATTTTCATGTTTCTTTCCGTCTTCAAATGCCATTTCGCTTAAGAATGTTATTGTAAAAACATATTTTGTTACAAACATATCCGTGAAGTTATAAAAGAACAAAAGACCATGAATATGATGATACACTGGGATAATGAGTACAAATAGGAGGAAAAAAATCTTTTAGTCTTCTAGTCTAAACTAAAAATCTTCTAGTCTTGTAGTCTTCTTTTATTCTTTTAATTTCTAATTTGCGCGCTGTCACATCAAAGAACTCTTGTAATTTTTTAATATTTTCTGATATTAATTCTGTCTTTTCTGAAATTATAACGAAGATACTAATTTTGCGCTAAAACGGTTCACCTTAGTCTTTTCCCATTGGCTATAGAGACCAATTTTTAGTCCAAAGGGATTTGAATCCCGAAGGACTATTAGTTTCATTTTGGCATTTTGCGTCGGACTCATAAATGTCGGTTCACTTTTCAAACTGTTGCCACAAAATGTTAGAGTCCTGCATTATATTTGAAGAAATTAAATAATGAAAATCTGCATAAATGTATGTATATTTCTCGTATTGTCATAAAACAACGGTACATAGAGTCATCGAATTTTGAATAACGTAATCCGCCAACGAATATGAGCATGTGGAAGACCAAATTTGAAATTTGAAATTTGTTTTATGATCGATTTCCTATTTTTTAAAACTTTGACGAATTTTTGATTAACAAACTCAAGGATTTCAAAGCGAGCAATGGCAACGTTGTGCAGAAAAAACATTTTTATCTCCAGCGCGTGAGTCTCTGTATCGGAAATTCTAAAGATATGCTCGTTTTAAAACTATTTTGCGATATTGCTGTTGCACTGGATCTTATGGTTTAAGTGCGAGGAACATGATATTTAATAAAGAAAGGTAACACACAAAATGTTAAAAAACGCCCCTTTGGACGTAATTTAAAATCTGAAACATTTCAGATTTTAAATTTTTTTATTTTTTTATTTTTTTTATTTATAATTTTAGGTATTGTAACAATTAAGTCAACTATTTAAACAACAAGGAGCAGGTAAACAAATCTACAGGTTCTGCCATAATCACTAAATCAATGCGATATCAATAAATATTAAATTATATATTTTTAAAAATACATATTGTGACATTTATTCATTATATGTTAAATTTTCATAATTTTTTTCTAAGAAAGAAATCCTAAAAGTATTTAAGAAGAAATTTATTAATTCAGTTACTTAAAATTACACAGAAATCTTAAAATACTCGAAAAATTAAATTTAATATTTAATATCTATTCTTATGTTATTTAGCAAATTTAAATCATAGACAAATTTTATTCCTTACTAAGCAGGAAAATAATGAGATAGGTCATATTATGATATTGTATGATAAAATACAATACGTGCTTAAGACTTAAAAACTTTACTTTTTTTTTTAGTCCAAAGGGATTCGAATCCCGAAGGACTATTAGTTTCGTTTTGGCATTTTGCGTCGGACTCATAAATGTCGGTTCACTTTTCAAACTGTTGCCACAAAATGTTAGAGTCCTGCATTATATTTGAAGAAATTAAATAATGAAAAATCTGCATAAATGTATGTATATTTCTCGTATTGTGATAAAACAACGGTACATAGAGTCATCGAATTTTGAATAACGTAATCCTCCAACGAATATGAGCATGTGGAAGAACCAAATTTGAAATTTGAAATTTGTTTTATGATCGATTTCCTATTTTTTAAAACTTTGACGAATTTTTGATTAACAAACTCAAGGATTTCAAAGCGAGCAATGGCAACGTTGTGCAGAAAAAACATTTTTATCTCCAGCGCGTGAGTCTCTGTATCGGAAATTCTAAAGATATGCTCGTTTTAAAACTATTTTGCGATATTGCTGTTGCACTGGATCTTATGGTTTAAGTGCGAGGAACATGATATTTAATAAAGAAAGGTAACACACAAAATGTTAAAAAACGCCCCTTTGGACGTAATTTAAAATCTGAAACATTTCAGTTTTTTTTTTTTTTTTTTTTTTTTTTTTTTTTTTTTTTTTTTTGCATGCTAAATATGTAGAAAACATTTGAGAACATACATAAGTAGATACATAAGTACATGTACGAAATATACATAATTTTGATGTATGACATAGTTTTTACAAAACTTTTTTATAAAAATTAAGGTATTAACTAAATAAATGTAGCCACTGTTGTTAGCATTTAATTATAGGAATTATAAACGTGTTGCGGCACAGAAGAGCGAAATTAATCATGGTATTATAAATACTGATACTAAAGTTTTGAAAATGATACCTCCATACTCTAAGATACACTTCTTATGTTTTTTAGACTGTAGCATTTTACTAACGCACAATCAATGTTAAAATGTGTTTTCTTATTTTTCATTTCTAGGTATTATGATGTAGAAGTTATCGAACTGAGCGAAGATGTGGCTTTCATACTAGTACTGCCCCCTGTTGACAGTGTTTGCTCTGTACCTGGCCAATGTGATGAAATTACTTCTAGACCCGACTGCATTCCGTTACCAATACAAATATTCGAAATGAGTAAGTCTGTATTGACTGTTTCGAAATGCATAAATGCTTTGCCTGAATTTCTGAGATAGTGATATTCATTTAACTTAGATAAACATCGTGTGTCTCTAAATGTCTGCCTTATTTTGACAGGCTGAAAAACTATAAGATATTTAATTTTCTGAAACTATTGAGGAATCTGTAGTTAAAAAAAGATAAATAAATAAGTGAAAAAGTAATTCATGCAAACATCGAAAAGACAAATAGTCAAACTGCGTCTTATATGTATTACAATTTTTTTTACAAAAATTAAGATTTTTGATATAACATTTTATAACATTTTCATAACGTGTTTCGTTGTTTCGAAAGCTTAATAATTAATAAAGTTCTAAAATAATATTTAAATAAAACCAATTAAAATTATTAAGTAAATAATTTAACTTTCACAGTAGATTTCTTACTCGTTTCATTTGAAATTAATTAATGAAGAAATGACTTATTTGACACGAAATGAAAGAATGAAGGATACTTACATTAAAGTATAAGTCTTACGCTGGATAAAATAGATAGAGTCCCAAGGAGGGGGCGATATGTGCTCAGAATAATACTGAAAATGATGGTTGGATTATTAATGATCAATAATTTACTGAGCAGGATCAGATGCCCTCTGCTGTAGCATTTTTATGCAGGAATTTAATGCAATCTTAAGCTATTTCTAGAGGTTCTTAATGGACAAAACATTTCGGGAATGCTTGACGTAAGGCATTATATCTATTCGGTATTTCCTTATTGCAAGGATTTTCTTTGTTTCAATGTATTTCTGTATTCTCAACCAAATCAATAATTTTGAAAATCAATCTGCCATTTTTATACCGCAATATTTCCTTACGAGCACAAATAATTATATTTTGTTTAATTTGGTGGCGACTACTGCTAAATTTAATTAACGTCCTGGGTTATTTAAGAACGTAATAAAATTTTAAGTTCCGCAGTTATCTTTATTTATTTATTTATGTATTTTATTTATTTCAGTACATATGACTACGTATCAATCGAGTTTTATAACTCGTTACTCACGCCTGTCGTCTATACTGGAAATGGACAATATGCTCGCTCACCATGCCCAGCGTGAAGTAAGTTTGTGTTTTGTTTAAGTCAGTTAATTAATTCTCAGCTTATCTTTTTCAACTGAAAGCTAACTTTCCTAACGAAAACTTGATTAAAAATGAAAACAAAATAAGGAAAGGAAAATCGCTGTTCCGATTGGCTAGATTGTAGTGGTGTTAATGAAGTCACTACTTCCTAAAACTACAGTGTTAATTTCGAATCCCATGATAAAGCTATATATGTTTGTAAGATTTATGCTTCACTTTAAATTTACACCCCACCTGCATCAAGTGGCAGCATGGTGTGAGGCATTCTTGTGTAAAATCTTGCCAGTTTGGTCGGATGGTGTAGGGACTGCTATTCATTATGGTGTTATCATCAGCGTCATCATACCTCTATGTCATTTGGCGACGAGTGGTGTATGGCAATGTATTTCTTTTTACTTTTGACTGATTGCGCAGTGCACCTCCAACATTTGAAGAATAAGGTGAGATTTGAAGAATAAGCAAATTAAATTTTGAGTTTACTCAGAGTCAAACCCATAACATTCAGTGGCTCGGCCTCTAGCCTGGAAGCGATTAGAGGAAATAAAAGCAGGAGTTGTTGCTACTAATCCCACTTGTCTGGCAATAGTCAATACAAGCCCACGATATTCATCGTGGCAAGGAGCCATATCAGCCTGTCATTGGTCACTAACTTGGGTGGCAAAGCAGGAGTTTTCATGTACAAGAGCTCAAAAAAATTCTTTTTCAATATCCCCCTACTTACGTCCGCACTCCTTCTGGGTATTAGCTCACGTGCGGATCATAGGCAATGAAAAGACAGATAAGCTCGCTACATCGGCAGTGAATGCTGAAAGCCCGACAAAGCATCTTGTGAAACTCATAACCTCTTACCTAAAGAGAATTACTTTTGAAAATATATTGTGTCAATGGCAAGAAAAGTGGGACTCAGCATCCACAGGTAGAGAGACCTAGTTTTTTTTTTTTCCAAAAGTGGGATAGGGGTCCTTAATATACGTCCTGTCTGGACGCGAAACTTTTGTTTGGTAAGATATTTGTTTGGTATACGACTTTTACCTCTCTCAAGACAATACTAAGACTACCCTTGACATAGCAACAGGCTATTATGCCTGTTGCTACACTTCAGTAAACAATCCGCGCTATAGCTCTGAATTTTCAAGTGATTTGAGACGGCGTCAAATAATGTTGAAAAATTGATTTTGATCTAGGTAGTAGGAAAACATTTATGTATAGTTAGTTAGTTATAAGCACTGGCCTCCAGCCCACCTAGCAGACGAAACCTGCCATATGGCTATGGACAGGCCAAGCCACAAAGCATAACAAAAAAAAAAAGGTTATCATAACGAAAAATAACAAACTTAATAAACATTTGGTAATAAGTTCAGATCATACAGTCACATAAAACGAACATAAAAGCTTAAAAAAACCGTAAAGCAGATATATACATTCCAAACACTCTCGGTGAAATTAGTATATAGATGTATGGTTTCCATTTCGGTTTTTTCTTTCCTAAGTTTAAAATCTTTATAAGTGTTGCTTTCAATTAGTTGTTATTATTCAAATCTTCTTTATATTATCCAAATTCATCTTAAATTTATAAGTTACCTCAATTATTTCTGTTTTCAATATGATTTTCTGCTTTGATATATCTCGATACCAATATTCTTCTTATTCTCAATCACAGTTTGCATAATATCTCCTGCAAATTTTCTAAACAATTTATAGTTACTAAATAAATCTTCAAACTTCGCAAATTTATATTTTCCTCTCACACTTCCAGTTAGGCAACAATCCTCGACGAAGTGCTTTGAATCGCCGAATTTATTACAAACTTACAGATATAATTTTCCTGGTGGAACCTTTTTAAGTAAGCAGGAATCTCCATGTGCGTGAGAATTCGATTGACATCTACATCTCCTAAAATTCGCATTATTTTGCTAATTTTTAAACACCTTAGATAATTTTTGTTTCTTCCAGAGAGATCCCACAGATTTTTCCAATCTGTAATAAGCTTGTTATATATTATAGTACATGTCTTCTTTTTCGAATCTTGAATAGAAACCTTTTCGGTCCCAACCCCCAGGCTGGCATCTTTCACTAGAGCATCCGCTCTCTCATTCCCATAATATCAAATACAGTGCTTCATTTATGCGGCATTTGTATTTTAGTCTTAAACAGTATTATAATAATGCCAATAGGATTTTTGTAAGAACGGATTAATTATTTTTCCTTTATTTTTTATTGGATAAGCTCGTTTGGTATACGTCTACGATATGTATCGGATGTATATCCAGGTACCACTGTATATACATATTTAATTGCGGGTCAGAATATTTAGCATAAATATAATTAATATCAATTAAAAGTAAGCGTTGTAAAATGTCTTTAAATCAGCAAAATTTCCTTGCACTGATTTTCCGAAATGTTACACGTAAAGCTATGAAACATTCTGAGTTTCATTTATTAAATCAAAATGAATATTTTAGCAGCTGAACCCTCCTGTACGGCGACGCCCTATAAAAAGTTAGATTATTCTATTTTTAAAGCCTTTTCACTCCCAGTATTAAACTAGTTTTTATATTCTCTATTCTAAATTCAAAGAAACTGTAATTAGTTCTACTTATCAAAGACCAGTCTTTAAGAAGCAAAGTAAAATAATCTGCAGCTGCTGCTTTCAGATAGGCTGTACGTATACGGAGGCTGTGTACGTATACGGAACGTAGTTTTCTGTTAAAGATTTGAGAGGGGAATATTGCACTGATTTTATGCATAGAAAATACAGGCACTTTAATCACACTATAAAATTTATTTAAAATAGTTTTAATTTCTGCCATATCTGAAAACTGTCATTCCTGTCATCGGCAATTTAATCATTAAAATTGCATACCTTGAATAATTGGTTGTACACCGATGGTATCATCTTAGAAATAAGTAAAGTAAGGTAAGCCTTCAAACTACAGCAGCTTTGGTCACGTTTTATCTTATAGTAAACATTTACGAGCCTTACCGCATGCGACTCCTAAAATGCATTTTTTTTTTTTTTTAAAGACAGAAAGAGAGAGTGCATGTTTTCATAATTTTGGAACATTTTTCAACAGCAGTTTGGCTTGTTACGTGCCAGTTTTTCTTTTCTGCTAAATGATCTTTAGCAACAATATAGGTATTTTGATAGTTAAAATTTTCATCATAGAGGGCCATTATGAAAAGTTAAATTTCGTTTACTTTTACAGAAAGATATATTCAGAAGTTGTAGCTTTTTTAATGCTTGCAACCATCTTTTCAATAAACATTTAGTCGTTGAGGCTTATAAATTTTCTTGCATGTATGAATAAGAACACTATTTTAAAGGTACTTGTTATTACTTTTAAAAACACTTTTCACTAATCTCGTTTTTATTATTATATTACTGTAATTTCTCTAGGCAACTGCAAGGCCATGGTTGATTCAATATTCTTGTAAAGTTAAGTTGTTTATTAGTTCACGATCTCAAAGCATGCTTTCTTTTTCCTAGGCTTTCTCAACGTCAGAGCTATCGGAAGCCAAATCTCGCCTCAGCCAGTTGCAAGAATTTCAGACTCAAGTTGACAATATGTGGCGAGCAGTACGATGGATTATGGATGTTCTTACATTTGCTCGTGATAAACAAGGTTCCAACGGAATTCCATTGAAAGACATCTGGACTAACTTTTCTAGTCCAGACTCACCTAGCATAACATTGCCTGAACAAATGAAGCAAATTGCCGAGAGCACTCGCACCAGTCCTACACCATTAGTGAGGCTCATGGACGTTGAAAGGAAGCAGATCCGTCGTTGTTCGTCAACATCCCGTTTGCAAATAAGCTATACGGACTTATCTTGTGACAGTGATAGCATCAACAGTGGATCCAAAGCTCACAGTGCAGAAAGACTGGACGACTCGAACTTTGAGAAAGAGTCCAATTACAGAAGCAGCATCCGCAGTTCATTTGCCGGAAGCCTCAAATCTTTGTCTTCGGCGGATATTGCGGGTGATGATGATAAGCTGAGTATATACTCAAAAGACAGTGCTTGCAGTATCGATGAGGAATGCCACAAAGACAGTAAAAACGGTGATGATGCTTTGCAGTTATCATCTCCTGCTCCCTCTCACTCTCAAAACTCTGGAATTATAAGAGTTTACGCAGCTTACGAGACTGGATTACCGAGTGGAACTAGCGTGAAATTGCATGTAACGCCATTAACTACTGCTAGGGAAGTAGTGGATCTAGTTGTAAAACAACTGAACATGGCGGTGATACTGAAAGGTAGAGGTGGTCCAATATACGGTAACAGCCAGTTGCACAGTTTTTGTCTGGTCGCAACAGCTGGTGCTAGAGAGAGATGCTTAAGTGATGATTTCCAGCCAATGAAATTGCAAGGACCGTGGTTAAAGGGCAAACTGTTCGTTCGACGGAAAAATAATTTATTTAATCGTAGCACAGACTAAGGACCTCAGCATCAGATTCTCGGATAAATGCTCTGAGTAAAACGTGATAATGATGCCAAATTTTTGAAATATTCATAGTCCTCACTGTATGCTGAATGCTTCTTACGCATTTCACTATAATTTCCATTTTAGAAAGCCTGGTACATAACTAGTATTAGTAACACTGTATGCCTGAAAGTATTATATCATGAGTATTTAATTTTGTATTAATAGTTTGTTTTTGTTGATTGTATTGTACTTAGAATCCCAATGTCATTTATCTCCTGCTACCTTTTACTCCTTTTTCTGAATTATCTGAAGCAAATTATTTAATTATATTGTCTAGATAATTGATTCATTCCGGTAAATTTTTTTATTTCCATATTTATTAAATTATAAACTCTAGAAGGAGATTTTTAAGATAACGCAAAGATTTCTCAGGTATATTCTGCATTAAGAGTTTGGAAAGATATTTCTACTAAGAACCATAAGAATGAAAAATTTTAATATATTTCTTCTACAAAGGTGATAGATTTTTAAAATAAATTTTTCATTGTTTGTAATCTTTTTCAATGATATTTTCAAGACGCGTATATACAAAAGTACTACTTGGAATAATTATAGGTTTAGCATCATTCAGAAATTATGAATTCAAAAATATGAATAAAACAAAAAAACGGCAAATTCTGAAAGCCATCCATTTATTGTATTTTGCTACAAATCAAAAACATGTACAGATTCAAACTGTTTAAATACATTTCCTAAAAGTTGTAAGTTTGCTTCCTAATAAAATTATTTAAGAATTGTTGTCACTTTATTACATTTTATTTTTGTTACACTGTGAACATGTCACATTTTGCTGAAACATCAATGAACTAAATGAGTGATGTGGAAAATACTGTACTTTGAAACTAAATTTGTTCATTATCTAATCCAAAACTAATTACCTGAATTAATAAGATAAGTTTTATTTTAATCCAACCTTTTAATCTGATGTAAAAATTACGTATTTTATCTCTCTAGAAGTATGAACAATTCAACTTTAGACTGGTGTGCATTATAGAAAAACCTTTTAGAGCAAAAAGCACTGAACACTGGTAGCTCGACCTGGAATTCACGTATGTATTTCTCTGATCACTGGTCTGTAGACATTTATGGGCAATATGAGCCACCTAAAGTATCACGGCAAGTTATCAGTTACACCAGAAATAATGTTTACAGCCATATATTATGAATTAATCAAAACTTATTAATTACAGCTTGTAATTCAAAACTATATATGATGTCTAAATACAAAATGTGTACTACTTGCGACACAAATTCACAACAAGCTATTGCCAGGATCTGGTTAACGCAAGTAGACATTCAGGAATCGTACGCTAGCAATTAAAGGCAATTTAAATTTGTAAAGCTTCTGATCCGAGAGAATTATTGTGGTGGAAGCCAAGAAGAGACAGAGAAGTATGCAACTTAAAAATAAACTTCAATTGAGGTGGAGATAATAATCACATCCTTATGTACATAGAAGAAAAAAGCTCAGCAGTTGAAAAACTCTATCATGTTTACTAGAGCATATCATTTTAGGAGGCTTGTATTATTTAATTATGACGAAGCACATTGAGGAGGAGTATGGATGGATGGAAAAGGATGCTTTTACAGAATTAAATATGGCGGAAACGGAACGCGAGGGTATTACCAACATTACGCGGCTTTAATCATTAGGCCTCCAGTAAGGACGAATCAGCTTGAAAAATTTTTTAAAAATTATATTTCACAAATAAATTTTTTAACTACTATTTGAATGCTGGCAAAAATGTATAATTGCCGATTGCGATTATAACCGTATTTTATTTCTGAGATACCGAAAAATCTCATAGTTAGTTTGTAGAAACATTAAGTATTTTGGAAGCAGGAGAGATGAAAAATGAGCAACGCCTTCGCCGGGACTCGAACCACGGACCTCTGGAATACGTGCCCAGCGTGCTGATCACTACACTACGAAGGCCTGCTAAGATGGCGGGAGAAATACCTTATAAGTTTACCTTTGACTTCTGATCTGACCAATTTTAGCCTTCTTCGATATAAAAAAAGTTTGTTTATATTTATATCATTAATGTTAGTAAGTTTTCTGTTTATTTACTTGATTCGAAGCGTAATTTAATTTTTTTAAAAGCTATGTTTTTTAAATATGTAAAACGTAATTATTATTTCCACTATTAAAAAGAAGAAAGTAAGTTACAAAAATAATGAAACATTTTTGTTTACCAAAATAATTCCCGGAAATGAATTTGTTGAAAAAAGAGCTGCACAAATATTCACCCGAGAAAAATTGATCATCAAGTTTTTCCTGAAAAAATTAAATTCATTAGCATCTCTAATTTAATATCCTCTTTCATTTACACAGCCTTATCTCGTTTAACTGCAACCGCAGTTATTGCGCATTTTTGTCAAGAAGGCTTTCCGTCACTCATTAAATCAATCAAGCGCCAGCCTGTCACAAATCCCATTTGTTCTCTTCTTGTGTGTGTATTCCCAGTTGTTCGTTACGATTACATCTAGCAATATTCCAAGCATTTCTTTTATCATTATAATCTAATTAATACTTATGCTGCAGTTTTAAAAGACTGATATTATTTCTGCGTTTTTACGAGCTCAGAAACAATATTGTAATTATTACTTAAATCTCCAAACTGCTTTTATTAAATTTTACCTATGTTAAAATTGTTTAACTCTTTTTTTTTTCTCTCCCCAAGAATATTATTGCAACTCTGTAAGTTAATGAACAGAATGTTTATCTCACACCATTTCACAATTTCTTGCTAGTATTCTGTTGAAATTAGGGATGTTAGTAGTCGTACATGTGAAGCAAAGTTTCACAAGAACTTATAATAATCTAACAGATAAAAAGTATTAAATTTCTATCGTTTTAAATCATAAGCTTGGAATGTTTAACCTTAAGAAAGTAAGAATACGCTTCTTGTGAAAACAGTTAACCGAGTTTACAAACGAAAGAGATAAAATGGAATTTAAAGGTATCTCTTACGAGAATTTTAAAATATCGCTCCGCAAACACGTGAATTTGAAGAAATGAATTCTTGTTTTTTGTGTTAATTACGTGATTTTTAGAGCAAAAAATCTGATGTATACACCACGTGACTTCCTTGTACGGAATATTAAATTATACATATTTTTTCTTGCATTTCATTTAAACTTATTAGATTGAATTAAACCTACTTCGCCGACAGCGCATAAAAAACAATAGAATAAATGCATTCTTTAAAATTCACTTTGTTTTCCATAGAGACACTCTGGCGCTAGGTTTACTTAACAGTATTATATTTCGTTTATATATTATAACTCAGAATGCACAAAATTTATATCATTTAAAGAATTATCTAATCGTTGCCACATGTTCTATTCAAATACTATAATAAAGCTAGAACTATGTATAAAAGAAATTAAGAAAACAAAAAAAAAAAAAAGAAAAAGAAAAAAAGAAACAGTTTTTCACAGACGATTGAGTATTTCTCATTCAATTAATTCAGTTTTCACTTCGCGACAAGGCAAAAATACATAAAAACTCAAAATATCTGTATTAAAAATTACGAAGTAAATCTTTTAAACGCTTATTTCCTCGAAAAAATTCCAGAAAGGATTAAGCATGATTTAAATAATAAATGAAGGCGTTATCTTTGTTGTTGCGAAGCTAAGTTTCTCTAGATTGACAACAAATCCGCTACTCAGCTGTTTCAAATGTAAACAAGAGCAATGGCCGCCATCAAATTAGGCTTAGTGGCACTTAAACAATATTAAAATTGTTGATAATTCTAAAAATATTGTATTCAGATTTACTAAAGGCATAAAACCCTTAACCGGAAGATAAAAACAACATAATTCAATCATTTTTAAAGCAAAAAATGTACAATTTACAAACATATAAGAGTAAAGAAACCGAGATCACTGAGCCGGGTAACAGAGTGGTTATATTTATAAATATATGTATATACGTTCGGCGAGGCTTTGCCGTAATTGAAAATAACCTAACCTAACCCAACTACGATGTGCACATATAGCAGTCCTTATATACAAAATTTCAACGTTCTGAGGACTACTCATTTTTGAGTTATGCGAGATACGTACGTACGTACATACGTTCGTACAGACGCCACGAAAACATTGTTCTTTCAAAAATTATTTTAAGCAGTTTTAGTTTTTTTTTTTTTTGGGGGGGGGAGGAAAAAGAGTCCTTTTATTTCTGTCCTTACGTACAGATATCACGCAAAAACATCGTTAAATTGCATTCGAAAGCGGTCAAAGTGGATATTTTCGCTGAAATATGCTGCCTGAAGCTTTTCGCGATTTCAATACTTCCTTTTTACTTCATACAAGGAAGTAAAAAGGCTTGTAAATGCTCTGAAAAGTATAAAAATTAGTGTGACTCGTTTTATTTTTCTGTTTAGTTTATTGCCGAGTCCTGGACCAAACGCACAGTATTTTAAATGTACACCAGTTACATACTTCACTTAAAACTCTTCTCTATACGCCTATTGAAAATTCACATAAAATATCAATGAAGTTTCTTGAAATGCATCTACAGTAAATGAAAAAATGGTGATGAATGCAACAAGAATTCGTGTAAATGTAGGTGAATCCTGGAAAAATTCGTTTTTAAGATCTCGACTGCATTTTCTTCGTTTGGTAAAGCATTTTCAACCTTCTGAAATGGATGGATGAAAATTATTGGGCTGATTTCCATGCATTTAAAGACAAGATTCATTTCCGAATGAAAAAAATAATTAATGTAAATCGCATCATTACTGCCTTCGGGTTATGAATTCATTCTAACTGTCCAAATTCTTCATTCAAACGAATAGTACTAAACCTTAATATGCAGTTTTCGTATAACATTGATCTCAGTTTATGAACCTAATGCATTATCTTAAAAATTCTTCTTTGTCACAGACATCGGTACCCCTACTTAGTACATAATTGCAGCATCGCTGCAACGGCTAGTCGCACGATCGCTTCATCATTACGAAACTATTGGTTTCAATGCCAATGCAGGACTAGTTGCCAAATGATTAACTCCTAATCGAGATTATCCGTGTGCACAAGATATATAACTCATATTACTAGATCCCGTGTGTATGATGGCAACACGATTTCAAGCAGTTTACGCAATGGCGTGCCAGAAGTCAGCAACGGCCTTGCTAGGGGTACACATCAAACAACGTTCGTCTGGCACGCCTAGCGTCTCTGCGATTACAGGATGTCACAATGGAAGAAAAAATAAAGATTTGGAAATTAGTAGATACGTAATAAAATATTATGCTTCCCGAGATAGAAAAAAAAAGGTGCGTGTGGGAAAGATAATTTCAGTTTCGAAAGTTATGAAATTAATATATATTTTTTTGTCAAATTAAATATTGATGATAGGAAATTTAACTCTACATGAGTAGAATTATTTAATTAAAAGTGTATATGAATTACATTATTCGTAAAATTAAGAATCAGGGTCTCTAATACGAAAGGGAAAATAATTACACAAAATGATTTATTAAAGCGTTTTCCTTTACTTTATATTTTTCAATTTTTATTACAATGAAATTTTTTACTTCAACTTAAAAGTACAAAAATGTATAATAAATACTTTAATTTAAAAAAAAACTAAGTATAAATCAGTAAATTTTCAGATGATGCTAACACTCCAGTAGTTGAGTGCATAAGACCATTGAACAATTACAGTCCTTTTTGAATTAGCTACTTGCCTGAGTTTTTGTGTTTTTCTGACCTAAGTAACGTGAATACG